AAGCTCGTCGTCAAGAATGGTCATCACGCACCGTGGCCAAGTCCCAAGTGCAAGCTGGCGCTCTACACGCGCGTCGACTGGTCCAAGACGCCGGCCCTTCTCGAAGCGGCTTCGTCCGAGCGGCAGGCGCTCGACGACGCGGGCGGCGACGCCGAGGACCTCGCCGAGGTGGCGACGGACCAGGTGCGCAAGCTGGGGTCGCACAGCCGCACGAAGCGGGCGATCCAGGTGTACGGCAACATTGGGCAGCAGACGCAGGTCGTCGTCTTCTCGCCGGCCGAGACGGACGCGGCGGGCGGCGGCGGCGGCGGCGGGCGCAGGCAGGTCATCAAGCAGCGCACGCTGACGGCCATGCTGCTCGAGACGGTGCGGTCGTTTGGCGAGAGCGCCGTGACGTCGGTCATCATGTGGGCGATCGCCGGCGTGCGCACCGTCTTCGGCGTCGTCACGGCGCACCGGCTGCTGCTGCTGCTGCTGGGGCTCAGCGCGCTGACCAACGTCTTCTGGGCGTCCAAGGAGAACTCGGGCTGGTGGTCGGAGCGGCGGGCGGTGCGGTTCATGAAGAATGTGGGCGTCGGGCCCAACGTCGTCATGAGCAAGGCCATTTACATGGCGGACCTCGGCGAGGCGTCGGGGGCTGCACGGAACGGCAGCTGGCCGGAGGAGAGTGCTTGGTATGTTCTGCCCTTTTTTCTTTTCTCATTCTTGTCATTTTTGGAGGAGGAGGAGGAGGAGGAGGAGGAGGAGGAACGACGTCTCACGTCTCATGCTCGCCAGTCCTTTTGCTCCTGCTAACGAACGGCAGCTTCTCGGCGTTCCAGCGCGTGACCAACTCGACGGACCTCGACGCGCCGTTCGAGGGCGCCGGGTCGACGCTGACGTCGGCGTCGAGCCGGGCGACGGCGCGGCGCATCCGGCGCACGCGGCAGCGGCTGGGGTCGTACCGGCACGACCTGCTCGTGGCGATGCGCGTCGTCAACAGCATCGAGCGCGAGATGGTGCAGTCCGAGTGGGAGAACTGGCTGGCGGACGAGACGACGCGGTGCGACCAGCTGCGGACGGTGCTCGGCGAGGAGGCGGCGGCCAAGACGAAGCGCGCGGGCGAGACGAACCGTGCGGGTCGGGCAAAAGGTGCTGCCGCCGGCGGACGGCGAGGGCGCGCCAGGCGACGCTGCGCGCGTGGCACGATGCGTACTGCGGCAGCTGCCGGTTCGAGCAGAGGGCGCTCGTGTGTGGGCTTGATCCTGTGCCGGGCCTGTAGCGGGGGTGGGTGCCTGGCGATCCCTGGATGACTGGTGTTGCATGTCGTAGGGGGACCTTGGGTGGTGAGTGGGGTGGCCGTGCCCCGCCGATACCCAGAGCATAAGCAGCACGCGTGTAGAGTCTCCTCCCCTACTGATTTTCCTGCTGTTCCTTTTCCCATGTCCGAATCGTCCCCTGTGCCCAGCGACATGCTCCCTTGAGGCGGAGCGAGAATGACCTCAGGTACAAGGGGATGTTGTTACTGGGCGCGCTCCAGCGATCATGGCGGCCTTCGGCTTCCAGGGCAGTTGTATGATATTGCTTGATCGCACTGTATCGGATCAGAACCTTCCAAGCAGGTCGGTCGCTTCCAAGCAGGACGGTCGAGCCCGGTTCCTTGGCCCCCAGAGTAGAGCACCAGAGCCCGCTGTCGGTCCCAGGGGAGCGAGGCGTGATGATGGTGGCCGAGACAAGGCACCCAGGGGGGGGGGGGCTTTCACTGCAATTCGCGGCGATCTCGCCGGTGGTAGATGGGTTTGGCTTGGCAGGCTGTGGGGGGGGGGGCGAATGGGCTTGTTCTTGTGCTTGTGGATGAAAACCGGTATTCGTCGCGTGTTGGCTGTTCGATTTGCCGTCGAGGATGAGTCTAGAGAGGGGATTGAAGTGTGGGGGGAGAACGAGTTGAGAAGGGAGGGGCGTGTCGCGTGCTCGTGAGACCTGGGCTTCAGGGCCTCGCGCCCGAGGCTGTGTCTACGCTCTGTGTTCGTTCTGTTTACAGCGTCCGTCTACAGCGTATGTCTAGGTAGCTAGCGACCTAGATGCCTACGACTAGGTGCCTACGACTAGGTGCCTACGACCTAGGTGCCTACGACCTACCTTGCCTTCCCTAGGTAGGTGCCTTGCCTTCCCTAGGTAGGTAGGTACATAGGCAAGTACCTGAAGCCTAGGTAGCTGACCCAACCAGCGACCCCGCAGCCCGCAGCCCGCAACCCGCCAGCCGCCAGCGGTGACGTCGCGCCGTCCAGGGTCTCGCGTCCCCGCCCCAAGTGTCACGCTGTCGGCAGTGCGTGGTGGCATGGTCGCCGGCTGCGTGACGTCAAAGGTGACCAGGCCTGCGCTGGCGTCTCTGGGCGTCCGGGCGCTGGGTTTCGCGTTCTGGAGGGAAAGCTCCGCCGTCTCCGGGCGTGTACATGGCTTTGTACAAGGTACCTACCAGGCTGGCTCCGTGCCTACGTACAAGGAGTAGGTACCTACCTACCTTACCTTACTTACGAGGAGTAGGTAGGGAAGGCAGCGTCGGTGACAGCGGCAGCCGTGGAGAAGGACCTGCCTTGGGCAAGGCTCCTTCCTGCTCTTCCCCCTCCCCGCCGCCGTGTGAGACGTCAAGTCGCCCTAGGCCTCCTCCATCCATCCGTCCTTCCCGATTGTCACGAACACCCATCACCAGTATTTCTAGCCCTCCGCCGTTTCGCCATTCCGCCTGTCCCGGGCCTCCTCTTCCTCATCATTCTTTCATCGTCTCATCGTCTCGTCGTCTCATCGTCTCATCGTCTCGTCGTCTCATCGTCTCATCGTCTCGTCGTCTCGTCGTCCTCTCGTCTCACCGGCCTCATTGTCCTGCTTTTGCCTTGGCGAACCCCCCTCTACTGCTCCACGACACCCGCAGACGAGCCATACGACGAACCCGAACGATACGACGAAAGATACGACGGAGAAGCACCCGACAACATCGTACTCGGCTGCCGCCCTCCCATTCCTCCCATTCCCCCCACCACGCCGACCGACAGCACATCGACATTCATGCGCCCGGACACTTCGGCGCCCACGCACGACAACGGCAGCCACGAGGTGTCCCGACCCTGCGAGACCCCGAGCCAACATCGTTGACGACACCTCACCACCAAACCACCAAACCACCAAACCACGACACACCACAACCACGGCATCGCATCCGTGGCAGAACACCCCCCATCATGCCGTCCCACCATGAGCCCTTTGCCGCGCTGGGCCCCGTCGACTGGTCCACCGTGCCCGCCGACGACCTGTCCGCCTTCCTCGCCGACACCTTCGCCTCGGCCCAGACCATCATCGACTCGATCCCCGTCCCCGCCCCCGTCCAGGCCGCCACCGCCGCCCGCCGCGCCCGCGCCCAGACCGACCCGCCCCAGCCCTCCGTCGCCCTCAACGCCGCCATGGCCGCCCGCCAGTCCGGCGCCTCCATCAGGACCGCCCAGGACCTCATGAAGGAGTGGAGGACGTCAAGGTCAACCCCAAGGACAACCCCCTCGCCATCAACGTCTACAAGCTCGCCGCCAAGGACGGCCGCGGCAGCGTGGTTCGCCCGCCGCAGCATCCACGACGGCCTGCCTTTTGCCACCTGGAAGCTCGGCCTCGAGCGCGAGTTTGCCGAGAGCATGAAGGTCCAGACGGGGCCCGGCGGCGGCAGCATCCGCGGCATCGGCGCCGACAAGAAGGTCGAGGATCATGTTGTCCGCGAGGCGGCAAGGCCGAAGTGAGTGCAGAACAACCGCCCCCCAACTCTGCTGTATCCTCTGACCCGGGCCAGTCTTCCAGCTGTCGGCCCAGTTCCCCGGCCCGACCACGCCGCGCGACTTTGTCACCCTCCTGCTCTCGTCCGACACGGCCGAGACGAAACCCGTGCCCGACGGCGCCCCCCGCCCGCTGCGCACCTTCATGATCCTGTCGAAGCCGTGCGACCATCCCCAGTGCCCGCCGCGCCAGGGCTACATCCGCGGCCAGTACGAGTCGGTCGAGATCATCCGCGAGGTGCCCAGCGACAAGCCCGGCGCCATCAAGAGGGCGCGCTCCTCCATCGACGTCGGCGCCGAGGGCGCGCAGCAGAGGCGGGCTGTCGCCGAGGACATGAGCAGGGACGCCGTCCTGCGTGCCGCCAGCAAGGTCGCCGCCGCCGGCAGCGACGAAGAGTCGGAACCGCGCCTCTCGTGGTGGACAGCGCGCCGGCG